CTGCTTTCCTATATAACTTATTGAAGTCATGCCGTGGAAACCCGGGAATTTGGGTTTTGCCTGTGGGCTTGTGAGACACAGATTTGTGTTTGGACTTTTGCATGGGAATTTGGGTTTTCGAGGCGCACTGTTTTTTTTTCTCTATGCGAAGTATAAACCGAACTCGGCCTACGGATAATATATTACACCTTCTTGCATGCAATGGTGGATTTATAATTTCAATTAGTTTCATATCATTATTTTCTATTAAATTTGGTTCATTGAATAAATCAAGATTAATCTCAAAGGTAATAAAACTAACAAATTTTCCTTAGAAAAATAAAGCAATTAGTGAATCTACAAAGATAAAATTTGTTAATGTAACATATATATTATCAATTGGGAGTTGGGAATAGAGTCTAGGATTAAAAACTTATGTGAATTTGGAAGAAATAAAATTAGGCAGCTAAAGGCGTTAGAACGGTAAATGGTGGTGGGGGATAGGGCAACTTGGGTTTAAAGTTGGAAGGTTGCGAAACCTCTTCTTCTTCGTTATAAGCATTGTTGCCTGCACATCTCTGGAGGCAAAAAGCCTCTCCATTGCACCTAATGGCAGATGCATGATTTTAAGATTGGATGGTCCCAATATAAAAATTCAAACAAATATTAGATGAAAATACAAATTACAAAGACGAAATTTATCCACGACGAAGTGTCACACCCAAAAATATTTCATTATAGATTTATTGTCAACTAGAGCGAAAATATCCAGAATATAATTAAAATTATCTAAAATTGGAATTGAACTATTTAGTTTGTGAAGACTAGGGAGGAGACTAGAGTGGTGATGGTGGGTGTCCTTCGGTTGGGTTGAGAGGTGACTGGAGAATGGGATTAGTCAATTAGGAGTTAGAAATGGAATTGGAAAAGTTCTGACTCTGTTTGAAAGTTGAACCATTTTTTATAATAAAAAAATTACAAAAACTATATATTAAAGAACGTTGTATTGAACGCACCGTTGTACTTAGAGGGTGTTTTCAAACCATACATCAAACGCACAGTTTTCCTAAGTCATTTGAAAAAAAAAAAAAAAAAGTATTCTTCCTCTTTCTTCCTTCTAGTTTGCAGAATACCAAAACACTCTGCAGCTCTGCTCTTCTTCTCCTCTACCATACGCCCAACGGCAGAGGCAGTAACAAGGTTACGGTGGGCTGTAGTATAGAAAGAGTTTTAGTTGTTTGAGGTTAAAAATACTAATAATTTAAACTATTTTATTGTTTTTAATTGTTATACCCCCCATAAGTAAAAGTTCTGAAAACTATGGCTACTTTCAGAAAAAGCAAGAATTAATAAATATTAAATAAATTGTTTACTTCAATCAATACAGTAAAAAATTAATTACTCTGTTAAAGTTACTAACACACGTTTCCTAGGTTTTCTAGGGAGTACATAGGTTTTTATATTTGATTAGTTTAGGTTTCTTAGGAATAGTCATCCAGTTTTAAAAAGTAAGTTTTAATATTTTATTATTTTAGGTTTCCTAGGTTTTAATACTTTATTATTTCGGCTTTTTGGGAGGGGGTACAACAGTGGCCGATTTTTCACTTTTCAGAGAGTTTCGTCTGCAGTTCATATAAACCGAGCATACAATTGAGAAAGTTTATTGATATTTCTCATCAATAGGTAAGTTTTTTATCAATTTATTCTTAAGTTTTGATAATTTTATTTGTTTATTGTTTGAATTTTAAGAGTTTGTACTTTAAAAATTCAATTGAAACAAAGAAGTAAGAAAGGTATTATTTGATTGATAGGTTAATTCGACTTGTATTGATTCTTATCGTTTCCACAACAACTATTGAACGAGCTTTTTCAGCAATGAATCTTATTAAAATAAGACTTCGCAACAAGATGGAGAGTGAATTTCTAGCAGATTCAATGGTTGTTTACATTGAAAAAGAGCTTGTCGAAAAGATTGATTCAGATAATAACAAATGATTTCAATTCTATTAAGGATCGAAGGGCACAACTTGAATATGTATTTTTTTTTCCTTTTATTTGTTAGGTTGTTATGACAAGATTGATGATGTCTATTTCTTTCTATTATAAGTTGCAACTTTAAATGTTTTCTTTGTTAAATCTAGTTGAAAACTTGCTTTATTCAGATTTAAATTTCTTACTTTAAATTATTGATTTCAAGCTTGTTATTGTGTAACTTTATGCAAGTAACAAAAAAATGTAACCATTTGATCTCGTAGTAATAATTTTAGTTTAGCCCACCCACCAAATAATTCCTGGCTCCACCATTGCACATGCCCAGACTCATGGACGGAGCCAATGAAGGCTCACTAGGGGCATATGTTCCCACTCAAGTGATTCGTTTGTTAAGTTGTAGACTACAATTATACAATACACACGCGTTATCTTTGAAGAAAATATATTATAATACCCAACATACCTTCATATTACATATACTCCATATTAAATATTATATGAGCAAAAATGCTCTTGTTCTGTGATTCAAACTGAAAAACCTCTCTCGCATGATCATGTATTAATATTTTTCTTATCACTTTGCCACTTTCCACTACTACATTGAAATTTTTGTAACATTGGAATTGTGATGCATCATCATTTGAAATCATCCCTATTATCATATTAGGTATAAGCCATACTATAATAAGGTTTTCTTAGTTGATTTTCTGGTTGCCCCAATAGAAGAAATTTCTAGCTCCGTCCAGACTTGGGTGATCCTCTAAGGTCCTCATAGAGATTATCCCGGCTTCTGAGTGGTCTAAGGCCACCCATGGCCCTTAATAGATCCGTCCCTCTGCACCTGCCTAAATTGTTGGAGGATCCCAAAGATCGATCACAAGTGTTTCTTCAGGCTTCCATAGGGTTTTGGGGGTATCCGCCCCTCCTTGCATGTGTCTTTGTTACAAGAATAATGCTACATGAACCAAAAATTTAAGCTAAATTTGCAAACTACATAATGTGTCATCAATAAAAAATAAGCACGCTAATCAACACTTAATTGATGATTCAATTATCTACAATCACATCATTTTGTTTGCAAATTTAGTTTAAAATTTTGGTCTCTCTAGCATTACTCCTGTAGAATATGAGCATAAATGTAGGAATATTTTGGCCGGATGTTTGGGTTCAAATTGGTTTGAAATGTCTTATTGAAAGAGGTTTAGAATTGGAAATTGATCCTAAATTACTCATTTATGTTAAAATTGGAGACAATGTTTGTTTCTTACAAGGATGCTAATAGGATATTCGTAAAGATTGTTTGCCTATAAAAATAGTGATCATCGCTATCACAAGGGAAAAAAAAAACTCATTATTGAACTGAAGGTCCATTGTTTGGTTGAACATTGTGTATCTGGTAAAGAGGAGAAACTTAATATTGAAGTTGATTATGACTTCATCTTCTTTGGTTTTTAAAGTTATGATGTTTGCTTCCACTATTTCGTTTGGAATCGCAAATTGCAAGATATGTTGTGTCAGTTCGATTAATTTTTGGATTTATTCAGGATATGTGAAATCTGGATTTGCCATTTTCTTTGAAGCTAAATTTATGATGAATTCTTCTTACTTGAACTCACTATAAAGATAATTGAATTGGTATTCACATAGTTGTGAACAGAATACATATATTTGATTCATGAGTATTCTATCTTTTTGTAAAACTAACCTAGCATGAAGATGTATTTTGAGTTTTGCAGAAGAAGTAGTGGTCTTGATTATCTTGTGTTAATCAAGACATTATTGTGATATGATCTAGACATTATAAAAAAGTTTGGTTGATCTTCTTTGATGGATAATGAACCAGTTAAGATCAAACTGAGTGCAAAAATGTTGTGTTTGATTTTCTGATTTTGATCATACTAGAAATTGGTCATTTTGGGTTTATGTGAGATAAGTTTTCCCCAAAGGAATGAGACTTTTTTTTTTTTAGATTATGCATTATTATCTTGGTGACAAATTGGGAACCAATTGGTTTATATATCTGAATTCTTTTTCAGTTGTGCAATACTTTCAACTTATGCTCAAGTGGGAGAATCATATGTTTGAATGTGAGCATAAGTCTAAGGGTATTTAAGTCAGCTATTAGTTTTAAATTATAATTCTTGTCATGCTTTAAAATCGTTTTTGATTTGACAAGGCATTTGGTGGAATTGTAATATAATTATGTATGGTGTTGCTTACGGATTTTTTTTAAAGATTTTTGTGTAAGCAACTGGTTGAATGATGATCATGTTATTCATTATGTTTGAGTAATGAGATAATTGGAACGAAGTATTAATTGTTAATACTGAGTTTGGCATGGATGAGTGGGGCAAACAATTTTGGTTTTGTTTCGCAAGTTGGTTCATGTCTTGTGAAGTTATAATTTATTTTGATGCTTATGAATCATATTGTGGTTTGATTAAGCAAGTGGTTGAATTATTACTTTATTACTCATTGTGTTGGAGTAATTTGAAAGTTAACAAAATTTGTTGTTAACTGAAGCTTAACATTATTGTTGTTAAGTTCGGCGAGATAAATGGAAGCAAATTATTTTGAGTTGGCTTTGTCAATTTGATCACAATGTTGATTATGCAAATTGGATATCAGTAATATTTGAATCCTCTGCATTATGTTTGCATTAGTAGTTCTTTGATTCTATAATTTGAATTGCATCCGTAGATGTTTGATTTCAAGTTGGTTTGGAAAAGTCTTATTGAAAGAGGTTTGGATGTCCTAGTTTATATACTATTGCAATTGGAAATTGATCCTTAATTACTCACTTATATTAAAATTGGGAAATTATGTTTGCTTCCTACAAATATTCTAATAAGATAATCGTAGGGAGGAGAAGCCTACTATAGTAGGCTAGGACTCCATCTTTTCCTTGATTTTTAAAGGTCAAATTATTCTGACATCTTCCCAACTAATTTTCCACTTCGGGATTTATAAGTTCTACTTAGGAACACAATATACAGTTCATCATGATACCTTACCATTTCCTGGAGAAGATGGGTAACTATGAAGTCACAGTTCATGGTGTCAAAGTCAAGGTAAGTGTTGTCACGGATGTTCGTTTGATCGCTGGAAAAATATCAGAGCTGATGAGTTTTATGGAAAAACGTCGTGTTATGGGACTTGATTTTAAGGTTGATCAATATAACCGAGACGTCTACCAGTTGCTTCTTTGTGCTGGAAATCACTGCTTGATTATCCCAGCGATTTTGAATGACGGTAAACCCTTGCATTATTGTAAAGAACTCATGCTACTTCTCTCTGATGACACCATCTGTTTTGTAGGTGTAGCAATGAGATCAAAGGTGAAGCTTTATAGTAGGAACTTTTTTATATGCAAGGCAGGGGTAGAGTTGGGTCATTTGGTAGCTAGGGTTTTGAAGAAGCCCAATCTTGAAATGTGCAGTCAGGTGGTAGTATTGGGAGGTGAAGTTGGCTTGGATATTAAGCCACGGACACCACTAGGGGCAGAGGGGAGTGGTGTTGGGGCTTCTAGTTCTCGGGAACCTAGTTGGAGTGGCAAAGTAGTTTTTTCCGAGGAGGAGGTCAAGTATGCAATTCATGATGTTTATGCTTCCTTTCTTATTGGGAACAAGCTCTTGGGAATACTTTAAACATTCTACTTCTACTTCTTCACCACAATGCATATGTTGAAGTATAGGGATTTTGTTTTACTGTGTTTATGCTTTGATGAATGATTTCTCATGAGTTAAATTTAGTTCAATCATGTTCATTTTTTTTTTCAAAAGAAGAAAGATTAAGCGAGATTAGCTTTTCAGCAATGATGGCGTACAAGGCACCAATCCTCCCCCAAAAGATCTTCGTTTTTGTTTCTTGTTTGATTAGTGATTATAGCACTTTTTTTTTTTTTTTTGCCTCATGCACTTCTTGTGAGAGGATCGCGTGAAACTTTGGAATGTAAATCTGAATTTCTTTAATATTTTCTGGAATGGATTTTCATTAATTGCTTTACTAACAATCGTCCCCTTTCTGATGATAAATATTTGAAAATAATTTTGAGGCTAATATTGTTCTGATGTTATCAAGGATATAGTTTAATTAGAATTCAGTCACAATTGTTAGACATTGCAGTTCATCTGTAGTACACTTGACTTCAAACTTGTATACATAACTTTTCGTTCATCAAGTTCCACCTGCACAAAGAATCAATATCCATCCAATAGGGCAAAGGTCGAAAGGCGCTCACCACATTCAACAAGTGATCCTCTGTTTTTCTTGAGAATAATTTATATGATATGAGTACACCGACACAGTAACGTTTTGTGCCAATAAAATAAAGATATGTAAGTTTCTGTTCCCATGCCCTTATTTCTTTGGCATGAGACACCATGTGACAATGTACTCGTGTCATGTAAGTTATTCTCGTTTTTCTTATATAAGCGGTTGTGAAGTTCAATTCGAAATCTCGAGTACGAAAATGGAGGGGATAAAGTGACTATTGAGTACAGTAGGGAAAGGGGAAATATTTTTCTTTTCTTTTTTTCAATAAAAAAATTATATAAAAATTCACCACAATCCACCAAAATCTACAAACTAAATTCGTTCAAATTCTTTAAAATCCATATGAATTTTGTAGGAGTCTTAAATCCTCTTAAATCCTATCAAATATATCACTTTTAAAATCCTTTAAAATCTTAGTTTGACTACACCCTTCTTAAACTTGTTTATTTAATTCGCTTTTGTTCTTTTCATTTTCAATGACTATCTCTAGGTCTAAAATATCGATATTATCCCGATATTTCCATCAAAATTTCCATGTTTTTGGACTACCGATATTTCCGATATCATCGATATTTTAGACCTTGATAGGAACTCTATATGGTAATAAGTCACTCATGTGTCTTACCATGCAATGTATAAAGTGTAAAATATTGTACTAATTCATTATATATAAATGATTATGGTGTGTTTAAACTTCTTTCATTAATTACTACATATTTTCTACACTCACAATGTTTGCCAGCTCGCTATATAATCAACTTAAATTAGTTAAATCCATCATGCAATGCATTTCCTTCCAATTTTTTGTGATAAACTAATAGATAATTGACTAAATAAACATCCTGCAAAGTTTCAATAAAAATTTCTAAGTTTTTCTTACAATTTCCTTGGTTTTTATTCACTTTTTATCGATATCGATAATATCCCGATATTTCCATCGAAATTTCCATGTTTTTGGACTACCGATATCATCAATATTTTATACCCAAAGTAGCATCAATAACTTTTTAATACAATCGATAATGTAATACGAATAACTTTTTAATACTACCGATAATGACAGGTATATAAGGCATCTTGTTCTAAGAATAACTTTGCCAATTACAAGCTAAAGGAAATCTCTCAAAAATGAGAATCTTTATAGACTTCAGTTTAACGTCCATTTTAGTATCAACATTATAAAATATTATATAAAAAATATAAGATGACAAAGAATTTATGAAGAATCTCACTTTGAGAAATTTTCCTCAACATTTATCTAGCTATAGAATTCTTCAATTAACATCAATAACCTACTATAGATAACGGTAAAAAATCATTTCTCATTGACTTTTGTACCAAAAAGAGCAACAAATGAAAGAATCTGGCCAAAAATAGAAACAGATACGGTATGTCGTCTATAAGGGCACTGCTGTGGTCCTACGACATCATTCCATAATAACCCCAAAGTTTTTCAATATTTTCGAAATAGCCCAAATTAAGATCTCGGCTGCCTGCCTGCCTCTCTCTCCTTCCTCCATCCTTCGCTCTGCAGCCGCAAGGTACGTGCTTTCATACCATTACGATTCCGATCATGCCTTTTCAAATCTGGGTTGTGTTTGGTTACCGAGAAAATGCTGAATAAACGAAGAAATTAACAAGCTTTGGGAAAATTACAATCCGCATTGTCTTTCTCTTTACTTGGATTGAAATGGAGAATTGGGCAACCCAATCGAGAAGTGTATTATTAAGTGCGAGTTGGATTTTATGTTCTCAATCCTTACAATCAGAAAATGTGAGTTAAAATTGCATAAATTGCTTTTGTTTTCTTGCTTTTTCTCGGGTGCCAAACAAACCATGAAGGTTATAGGGTTATTGAAATATGATTATTGTTTGTGTATAACTTATTACAAACTGCATTTTTAATCGGATAAACATTTCGTAGCTATTCGACAGTTTTGTTGTGTTAATTTTTTGTATTTTTGGTATTTTGTGTTGAATGCCAGGATATGAGAACAAATGGGCGCTTTTTTGAGGTTAGGTTGATGACACTGTCGTAAACCCTTTTCGCTGTTTGGGATAAGCTTTAGTTAGGGAAATTCAGAAGCAAATTTTGTAGCTTTTATGTATGAATAGTTCTTACTGTAGGAAAAGACGGTTTCTTGCTTGAGATTAAGGGTTTGATGGCTATAAAGAGGTGTCATTGATCTTAGGAATGGGTTAGCGGACGTAGCTGAAAATATTGTATAGGTTGTTCTGTGTTTGAATCAAAGATTTATTGCTTTGAGGTGTTAGAGGCTAAGAGGGCAAGTCCAAAGTTAGGTATGTAATGGATGAACTAGGTTCTCGAGAAAGTGATCTGGATTTTGACTTGGAAAGTGGTGACACTGAAAGCTCCGATGAAGAAGTACATGAAGAGTCAAGTTCAGATGGTAAGCGTCCCAGGAAAACAATGGCTAGGGCAAGAAGTGGATACTTGTATGTTGATGGATCAATAGCAGCTAGTGATGGACTAAGCACAAGCAAGAATGTTTCGAGTATTGGTGAGAATATGGATATGTTAGGTAGTAGCACGGGGAAAATGACAGAAGGAGGAGTGGAGAATAGAATGGGAGATAAACAGAAAAAGAAGATCCCTAAGAAGCATCCCAAGCCACCTCGGCCTCCTACAGGGCCAGCATTACATGCAGCTGATATAGAATTGGTCAACGAAATTTCAAAGCGTGCGAGGTTGCGGCGTGCAAGGAGAGAGAGAATGAATGCATTGAAGAGAATGAAAGCTGATAAAACCTCGTCTTCAAAGATCAACTTTTTGGCAATGGTTGTAACCGCTATCTTCTTCTTTGTGATAATCTTTCAAGGTAATTCTGTCTCTGCTTGTGGTTACTACGTGTTTTGATTTTTATGTTACTCTTCTTGGGCTGACACATTTCCATGACAATAAGGTCTAAATTTTGTACTTAAGCTGAGTCAATTCTGTTTAGATTTTGGCCATGGAAATTTTTTTCTATATCGCCGGGACCATACTTTGATTTGTGTTCCGACCACTTAGTTGGAAAAGGCTTTGTTGTTGTTGTTGCATCGTTATTCATATATTTGCCACTATCGATAGGGTGGAAAAAAATCCCGAAAATCCCGAATCGAACCGAAAAAATCCCAATCCCAAACCAAAAATTTCCCAAACTGAAATTCCCGAAATTTTTGGGATGCTATCCTAAACCAATTCCGAAATTTTGGTACGGGATTTGGGATTGGCTTCTCAATATTTCAGGAATCCCATACCAAACCGAAAATATATAATATTAATTATTATATATATATATATATATTTATACATATATATTATTCTCTTATAATTGATGCTAGTAGTTTCTAATTCATGCTTTGCAACCTGGAATGCCCTACATCTTGCATATTTTTCATGTTCTATTTGATATTCATTTGGATTTTATTATTGCTGCTGCCATGACTGATGATTTCAGAAGGTTTGATTCTTTTGTCTCTCAAGATTGCAAAAATGGTTTAATTAATTTGAATTTTGACTATGATAAAAACAGCCAGGCATGCCGGTGTTCGATTAAATGGTAGTGTGAATGAAATGACATTCCTAGTTCATGAATGTGTTCTTGAATTATATATTTGAAGAGCAATTCATAATTTCATATTTCAATTTGGGATTCCCGATTTGTCCCGAAATCCCAAAAATATTTCGGATTCCCGAAAATTTGATTTGGGATTGGTCTTCAAATTCCCGTCCCGAAAAATTTCGGTTTGGGATTCGGGATACTAGTTTCGGTATGGTATCCCATACCGAACTTCGATATACTTCTGTAACTTTTTTATCCACATGAGCGGTAGGTCTCGGGTTCGAGACTTGGGAGCAGCCTCTTCATAAATGGGGGTAAGGCTAGCCGACATTCACCTCTCCCAGACCCTGCGTAAAGCGGGAGCCTTGTGCACTGGGTACGACCTTTTAGTCTTGACACTCTGTTGATATAATTCTGTAACTTTTCTCAGCGATAACACTATCACTTTTTCTTCAGTAACATTTTCTCCTTATTTGGATGGTTTCTGAGCTACAAATCCCAGTTTACTCATTTCATAACATCTCTCTTCAGGTTCAATATTTTTTTGTTCAATTACGGAAGTTCTTGAAATGTCTAGTACTTTAACCGCGAAGTAATTCTCATCGTTGGGATTCAATATACGACTTGAGAGTATTTTGTTCATGAATTTCAGTATGTCAAAAAACATATTACAAAATATTATACCAGAAGTAGCAATTGCATCACCAATAGGGAGATAAGATGATAACCAACTACTCGTTGTTGAATCCGGTTTCTTTTTGTTTGTAATACATGCCTACAATTTAATAAGCATGACACAGTTTCACGTATGTTTATCGTTGACTTCAGGAATCTTGGGTTCTCGTGCATGAACTACGTTTTCATAAATCCCACAGTACAGACAACCCCGTCTGCGAGTGCAACTCATAGGCTGGCTCTGTCTTTACAAGGTAAAAGTGCTTTTTCCTTTCCAACTTCTGATGTAGAATCTGAATTCCGTCTTCAGCTTATTTCATACCGTTCGATTTATCTGGGAAGATCTTTCGTTTTGCTTGCAGGCCGCGTAGTGCAAAGACAAGAAGAGGCATATGAAATCATCGTAGCTACATTTCTTTTCCTTAGTCATGGTCTCTGAGGTGTAACTGGCACTGGTTGTCTACATTCAATTCTGTTTTTCACCTACTGCAGTAAATTGTGGTTGAGCAGATTCGGCTTTTATAAATTTTGTAAAACCTTGTGCACCGAAGTTGCATTCCACTGTACTAATTTTATTGTTGAAAGAAAATTCAAAGTTTTGTTGCCCCTTCATCTTGCTCAATTGCACGTCTGCATCCTGCTCGATCGAAGGTTTCATCCCTTGCACATACTTTCTCCGTCGATATAACCTCCCGTCCTGACACCTTCTGCAACCGAGGTGCCCGTCCCTAACATAATTTATTCAAAAATAAAAATAAAAGAGATTGACAAATAAAAACATTCTTGCACGTACCTTTAGTTTCATATAGCGGAAAGAGCAGAGGTTTGGTACTCCAAACCCGATCCAAACTCCCATGGAAGAATTCCTTGGGGCCACCGGTTTTACGGAAACCAAAAGTATGATGTCATCTCATGCAGTATCGGAATTGGATGGTGAGAGGCAGTGGCGGAGCCAGGAATTTAAGACAATGGGGTCAAAAGTTGAGCTTCCATTACGAGACAGGGCATGCCGAAAACGCAGGTCTGACGATCTGGAGGCTGCCAGGCCTTAAATTCACGGTGGTGGGAAGATTTAGCAAGGGTCGGAGAAGAGGCGCTGATGGAGTGATGGCTAACAAATGGAGTAGCAGCTCCTGTTGGACCTTAAACTGCTTCTAGTTCCAAGGATCGACGACAGCAAGTGGAGCTCCAATGGATGAGTTGCTGCTGCATCGAAGAAGAAAGAAGAAAAGAAGGGTTTAGTCCTAACGGCTAGTTTTCAGTTTAAATGCTTTGTATGTGTGTGTGAGAGTGACAAGTGTACACTCCAGATTAGATCGCTTAAAACCCCAATGAAGGGCTAGGATCAAATCTGGAGGAGAATTGGTGTAATATTTGTTTAAGTTCTCGTCCCCCAAACTCTTAAAAAATGTTTTGGGAGTTGGCAATGCACCAAACCTTACAAACATTCCTTATTAAATGAAGTGATGGCAGATGCAATTTGCACAGCCTTGTAGTCATCCAACATCTCTGCATTCTTTGTTCCATTTTTCTGTCAAGTTCTAAACCCCAAGAAACTAATCAAACAAACACAAACAAACTTTATTAGCTCCTTCTTCTTCTTGTTGTTTGGCCACAAGGTTATTGGGGTCAAGGAATCCCATTGCCCCCACCTTGGCTCCGCTACTGGTGAGAGGGGACAGTCTACTATGAATATGTGATGGGATACCTTCTATATCAAAACTAGATATCTTCTACCTATGGTTATTTTAAGCATAATGTGTCACATGTGAAGTTTGACGTCATACAATGGATAACAAGATTTTACATTTCATTGTTATATTATAATTGGACTGGGCGCTTAGTACTACGGTATTAGGTTCGATTTTCGACAAATGTGAATTTGAACCATATTATTGCTAGCTCATTATGAGGTTTTAGCTCACTCCCCTAATTCTTAATGTAGATAATATCGTTTGTTCGTAAAAAAAAATATAAAAACAAAAAAAAAAAGGAAAACTAATGAAAAGGACTTGAAAACTTTGAGTTTTAATGACAAGGACAAAATAAAGGATAAAGTGAATAATACCATGATTGACTTTTTAGTGTAAAAATGTGGTTTTTCGTTAAAGTGAACAGTACCAGTGCTTTTCGTTAAAGTTCCAAAAAAAAAAATGGACTGGTGATTCCGTACACGCGTCGTATACGAATATATACGAACTTGCATACGATTCCTGCCAAGCCCCAAACCCGCCTATTATATTCCCGCCTACTCACGCGTACTCCGAAATCCGATTCCCTTTTTGCTTCGCTGTGGCCCTCTGAGTAATTTCATCGAACAATCGGCCGGCGCAATAACACAGAAACCCAGAAGCGAAGCAAAACCCCACGAATCCGAAACGCAATGTCTCTGCGGCCGGGCACGAGGGCCGATGTGCGGAAGAAATCGTATAAGACGGGGGTCGACGCGGAGGAAGCGCGGCGGAGGAGGGAAGACAACTTGGTGGAGATCAGGAAGAATAAGCGGGAGGATAGTTTGCTCAAGAAAAGGAGGGAAGGATTGAGTCAGTCCCAGCAGCAGCTGCTTGATGGGTCCCAGTCCACCTTCGTTTTGGAGAAGAGGGTACTGCTTCGTGTTTTTGCTGATTTTTGTTTGAAAGTTCTTAGCTTTAATTTGTGTTTTGTTCTTTTTGATTAGTGATTAGGGGATTTGAATTATGCTTTATTTGGAATTGTTGTGAGATTAGTTAGTTTATCTGCGTATGCTTGGTTGCTAAGAAAGTGTAAGGAATTGAAATGGGAATTACCGTTTAATAAGAAGTTGATTGTAAGGGTTAATCGATCTTTGTATGCTTATTTCGGATTTCGTTGGATTTTTTTTTTCTGTTGTGCATGAGTACAGAGAAACTGTGGGAAAGTGAAAGGAAGTGCTGAATTATTGAGTATTGTCCTCTCAATGCTTTTAAAGAATAGCACAACTAGTTTGGAAAGCGCTGAATGATACATGATATCTGAAAGTCTTTTCGATCTGAGAAAAGCATGGCTCAAAACTCTACATAGTGTTTGGAATTCATTTGAATGAATGCGTTTGTTGAGAAGATAACTGGAAGCAGGAAGTTATCAGTTCATGCTCTCTATGTTGAAATAAACCTTTTACACTTACGGTTAAGGCATCGGATAATGTTCCTATTTCTTTAGAGTAAGTTATATAGTTTGTTTCATTTTTGTTTGAAGTCTGGGAAAAGGAGAATCTTGAATGAGATAAAGTTCATTCTTTACGTTTCCTCTTCTTGATATTTTATCTTATATTAAAAGGTTTGGTCTTTAATTGATGTTGGTGTTGTTTAACAGTTGGAAAGTATCCCGTCAATGGTGCAAGGAGTATGGTCTAACGATCCTGCACTGCAATTGGAGGCTACTACTCAATTTAGGAAGTTATTATCAATTGGTATGAGCGCAGATCAAATGCTTCAAGTTCATTTTCTTTCCAATATATGTAAAAGATCTGTTTGAGGTTTGTTTTTCATTTTTGTGTAGAGCGCAGCCCTCCTATTGATGAGTTTATAAAAGCTGGTGCTGTCCCTCGGTTTGTTGAGTTTCTTGGAAGACATGATTTGCCCCAACTGCAAGTATGGAAACTTTATTTCTTGTTTAAGTGAAATTATCCTTAAAAGGTGTAATCAAACACTGACGTTGACTTACATCTTTATATGCAGTTTGAAGCCGCATGGGCTTTGACCAATGTTGCATCAGGAACATCAGAGCATACACGAGTCGTTATTGAGCATGGTGCGGTCCCCATGTTTGTGCAGCTTCTTAGCTCTGGCAGTGATGATGTCAGGGAGCAGGTTCCTTCTCCTTACCTTTCACAAGTTTCATTGACCTGAGATTGAGAGCATTGCTAATTAGGCTTTGCACTTTCTGAAATTTTTTTAGTCTTGAATATCATTAATTTTCCAATTTCACTATATAAGTTAATAGCAAGGTTCAGAAATTTCATTGACTTGAGTGTGCTGTGGAAAATGTCTCTGGACTTTCAAAATAATTCTGAGGCTTGCATATCTTGAAATATTTCCAATATCTATAAGTTTTATGAATTATCCTGCTCATTATTTTGGTATATGTTTTGTTAGGTTCTAAGTTTTAATGATTCTATTTTCATAGTCTCCCTTCCTTTGTCAGATATTCTACTTATTCGACTTTACTAGGTGACGATCCTTGATTTCTTGTTTCCTGAACAGGCAGTGTGGGCTCTAGGCAATGTTGCTGGTGACTCACCAAATTGCAGGGATCTTGTTCTTGGACAAGGTGCACTGATGCCATTGCTAGCTCAATTAAATGAAAATTCAAAGTTATCCATGATGAGGAATGCTACTTGGACTCTATCTAACTTTTGTCGTGGAAAACCACCAACCCCATTTGATCAGGTTTGGGCTCATTTAAGACTTCTATTTTGTTAAAACTTTATAGATGCAGCAGTCGTATGTGTTAAATGTCATCTGGTATCCCTTTGTAGAATAATTTGGGTCGATGCCTTGTCATAACTGTAATAAGTACCCTTTCTGCTTGGTTATCGGCATGTTCTCTTACAGGTGAAGCCTGCCTTGCCATTTCTAAAACATCTCATTTACTTGAATGATGAAGAAGTCTTGACAGATGCTTGCTGGGCCCTATCCTATCTCTCTGATGGTTCAAATGACAAAATTCAAGCTGTGATTGACGCAGGTGTATGCCCGCGGCTTGTGGAGCTTTTGCTGTAAGTCTCTAAACCCTCTACAAACTATTCACATATGGCATTGGTCTTCAATGGATTGATATACTTCAGAATAGTTCTTTGGCATATTCACCTTGGGTGTGTTTTTGTAACTACAATTTGTTTATGGCAGTCATCCATCACCTACGGTTCTTATACCTGCTCTTCGGACAGTGGGTAACATTGTTACTGGTGATGATGCCCAGACTCAGGTATTAACACTAATAGCTATATACCCTTTAGAGCCTAATATCCTCTGAAATCTGCTCTTCTTGCTGGATGGGAGTCTTATTTAAATTTTTATTTTTCATATAATGCCTCAATTTTTCTTCGCTTATATATGGCAACAAACTGACCCCCTTTATGTTTTCCAGTATGCTATTGACAACCAAGTTCTCAGTTGCCTCAATCAACTTCTCAAGCAAAATCACAAAAAGAGCATCAAGAAAGAAGCTTGTTGGACAATTTCAAATATCACAGCTGGAAATAAAGGTCAAATACAGGTATAAAGTTCTGCTAAATTACATTTCAGAGATGTGTAATTGAAGTTAGGGATATGGATTTGATTACTTAGTTTAAATTGTATGCATCTAGTATTAAAAGAAAAGCATAAAAATAAATATTTGATACTCTTTCTTCATGAACTGAAAAGAGAATATGAAAAATATATATTTATTATTTCTTGAGCATTTGAAGTTCACCATGTTCCAGACACTGTTTTAACATGTGGATTGCATTCATATAAAAGCTAATACTTATACTATATAGTCCGGGAAGTCATTCAAATCTTTTCTTTTAAAAAGCACCAATCCAAAGTTCCAAACGCAACATAAGTAATGCTTATCTCATGCATTTGATCCATGCATGGCACCCACTAAATCCTCTATACTACAGTGTTTGTGTTTTGGGTGGATGTCTGGTCTGGTGTTGCATAATCTTCTTTACAAGTAAGATGATTGTGTGGCATAACTTTTATATAGTGGTAGATAGGCTGGGGAATTGTTAGGTACGGTCCCCGCACTCTATACAGTATACATAACATAGCTAGTTGTCACAGGGAAAGAGATATATTTTTAATTAGTTATTTAGTAACACTTTTATTTTGCTTTTGACGTATTTTGTTTCCTGCAAGTTATATCATTACGTTGCAAAGAAAATGCTTATACTTCTTTATTAGTTTTGTGTGGCCTTTGCAAATGTATACATGTGCTTAATACCTTTTGATGCAAGGAAGTTTACTTGATCCTGTAGCTTGGCTTCTTTCAGGATTAATTTGATCCGTATGATTTTTCTCGATGCATCCCTTGCATTTTACTGTATATTGGTTACTATTTAACAGGCTGTGATAGACGCTGGTATCATCTTCCCACTTGTGCAACTTCTCCAACATGCAGAGTTTGACATAAAAAAGGAGGCTGCGTGGGCCATCTCAAATGCCACTTCTGGAGGATCTCATGAACAAATTCAGTAAGCTCTACCCTTACCACTGGAATATGTCTATTAGATTCATTATGCGATTGTGCTCCCGTTATATTTTTAATTTTTCCAATATTTTACAATCATGATTAATGTTTCTTGCAGATTCTTGGTGACCCAAGGTTGTATTAAGCCGCTATGCGATCTTCTAATTTGCCCAGATCCAAGGATTGTAACAGTGTGCCTTGAAGGCCTTGAGAACATTCTCAAGGTGGGTGAGGCTGACAAAAATATGGGAATGAATGGTGGGATCAATCTTTATGCACAAATCATCGATGAATGCGAGGGGTCGGATAAGATTGAGAATCTGCAGACACATGATAACCATGAAATTTACGAGAAGGCTGTCAAGCTCTTGGAGAGATATTGGACCGAGGAAGACGAGGAAGTCCAGGAGAATGGGAATGGAAATGGAAATCAACAAGGTTATACTTTCGGAGCAAACCAGCCCAACCCTCCTCCAGGTGGCTTCAATTTTGGATGAACAAATGTGGTTTAGGTTTCTAGCAGTGCAGGTTTTTCACCTCCATTTGATGAATTGCCAAACCTCATTCTGCTTTTCTCTCACTGGCAAGAACCAGGGTTGTTGGTTATGAACATAGGCTCGTCTATCGAATTTGATGGAAGTGCTACGGCTGCAAGCGGCTGTCCATTTTATTTGCGGTTCCATACTTCCTAGTAAGGAAAATTGTCGCTCTTGTTTGTGTTTACGCGGAATTAGAACTAAAATGATGGCTTCTGCCTTGTGTGTTTGTTTCTGTGTTGTTCATTACTTGTTAGAATCCTGAATTTGTTGATCTTTGTTTCGTGTTTATTTTTTCTACCGTTTTTAAGAGTTAAATGTAACGTTTTTGGGGAAGTCTAGAAAGCATTTGGGAAGTTTTCAATAGACCATCACTAATGGGAACTGATTTTGTAAAAATCCGCTTCTCCCCATGTGCGCTCACCTTTGTTATTTTTAGCTTTTGGATCGAATGAAAAAACGGAGAATCAGAGGACAAAATTAAAAAAAAAAAAACACGGGTATGAAGAATGGCAAACAAGGTCGGGTTTAATTAGTCGTGTTGCAAGTAGAATCCAACCCTAATACACCATTGAATATAGAATATACGCCTCCCTTGTTACTAGCAGCAAGTGCAGTGCCATTGCCTACCTTCAGCGTAGGTACGTCCTAGCTGTTTTCCTTCTTTGTGTTCATCAGTGACGATGTTGAACTTTCCGGTTTTTGTAAATATTACTTACTTTTGCAATCAAAGGATTGAACAGAATCCAGCAATGCAGTAAAAAATCTGCTAATAGCTGCTGAAGTAAAAAATACAGCACCCTTTGGACCTAATATAGGCTGATGCCATTTCAAACCTGACTCCTCCATTACAAAACAGATGCAATTCGTACATGCATTTGGATCAAAGGCAAATAAAAAAAACAACAAAATCAAATGACTTTCAATTTGAGAACCATGGTTCATGTAATTTCAATCCATTCATTCTTTGTAACACAACAATCCAACGGCCTAATCTCAAATCCTACAATCTACCGCGAATCCTACTTATGTATCCTAATTGCAAATCCTACTTGGGATTAAAGTCTCACATCACCTATAATAATCAATACACAGAAAGTACAACCAAATTGTCTACCGTGCCTGTCCATATCTTGAACATGTAGACTTTGTGTGCCACCTTGACCCGCTTTCTCCGTTTCATTTTTGGCACTGCGATATATTAAAAGCATAGACCTTCACAATCATTTGAGCTATAAAAATGTGATGGTTTTTTAACCCTTTGTAACCTTTTGGATTCAAAAACTCATATAAATTCTTTTTCGTCTTTGAACGTCACAAGTCATATATAATAGTCTCCCTCCAACGCATGACCCCATATTTCTACATGATCGTCTAAGATCCTGCATATTGGGGTAAAAGTTAATTAAAAAAACAATCTTTTTTTAACTTACATAACAAGTATAGTATGTACATTCTATCTAATCACTTTTGAGAATAATGTCCACAATATTATATCCATTAAGCTCTCTGGGGTAAACTAAATATGCAGCTTTGTCCTCGCCTCTTCAGAATATCCCTATGACATCAAATTCTTTACTAATATCTTTAAAAGCCTTGATATCATACAGATATGCTGAGGAGGCGTGAGGACAAAGCTGCATATGTTTAGCTCAGAGATCTTGATTCGGGTATAATAATGCGGACATTATTCACAAGTATATAGAATGTACATACTATACTTGTTATGTAAGTGAAAAAAAAAATTGTCTTTTTAATTAACTATTTACCCCAATATGCAGGATGTCAAAGGATCATGTAGAAATATGGATCATGCATTGGCATTTTATCAGGGACCCTATTATATCCGACTTGTGACGTTTAAAGACAAAAAAGAATTTATACGAGTTTTTGAATCCAAAAGGTTACAGATGGTTCAAAAACCACCACCTTTTTATGCCACAAATGATTGTGAAGGTCTATGCTTTTACTATATCGCAGTGCCGAAAATGAAAGGGAGAAAGCGGGTCAAAGTGGCACACAAAGTCTACCTATTCAAGATATGGACAAGCACTATAGACAATTTGGTTGAACTTTCTGAGTATTGATTTTTATATGTTGATATGAGACTTTAATCTCATATAGGATTTGCAATTAAGATAAATAAAAGTAGGATTCGCAGTAGATTGTAGGATTTGAGATTAGGGTAAATAAAAATAGGATTCGCGGAAGATTATACAATTTTCCTCAAACTCAAAACCCTAACCCATGAAATTACTAGTAATCTTCCTCACAAGATCACAAAATCTAAAATCTAAAAGCATGTATGCTAGACGAGTCCGGATCTCACCTTGGAGTTTTTGCGGTTGGGCTGGATTCATCCTATGACTGGATCCTGATTCGGATCCGGGGAAGCTCTTGGCCTTGAATCCTGATCCGAGGAGGCTCTTCTTGGCCTTGAATCCTGATCCGAGAAGGCTCTTGGCCTCGGATCTGGCTTTGGATCGGCGTTTCATGGGTATGGCAGTGGGTGACAGAGAGAGAGAGGGTTTCATGGCTTTGCTGCGGAGAGAGACGAGTTTTTTCTTTGTTGGGGCTTGGGGATTGTAAAGGGTTAAGAAGGTTCGGCCATATAGGGATAATTGAAAACCAAAGAAAATTGCTAGCCGTTGATCTAGTATGTACGAAGATGGCGACAGTGTTGGTTCCTACTGTTGGGTTTCATGATGGTGAAGGCTTCACCGTGAAGTAGAGGAGAGAGACAACCTGGGAGAGAGGGCTGGTTGTTGACGATGGTGGGGATTTGGGGGAGGAAGGCTCAGGGGAAGCACGACGCCGACTCCAGGGAAGCAACGACTGCAGAGAAAAATGAAGAAGAAAGAGGATTCGGTCCGGAGAGGATCCTCTCCCTTCTTTGGATACAAGGTTAAGAAAGAAAAAGTAAAACAAAAATTAACAAATGCCTCTCTAAGAGGGTGTATTCAATTAGGATTCTGAGAGAGTTTCAGGGAATTAATAATTCCAGGGGTATTCAATTAGGATTTTAAGTGATTCTCTGAAATTCTAGGTGTATTCAATTAGAATTTCAAAATAGTTTATTAAAATCCTTAGAGGAAATTGGAGAGATTTCGTAGTGTATAACATTCCAGGTGTATTCAATTAGAAATTGATTTTAAAGAATTTGAGAAAGTTAAAGAATTAGAGGGAATTGGAGAGATTTCGTAGTGTATTTTAAGTATCCACAAATCTCACCTCTTCCCATGAGATTTCGAGAGAATTGAATCAAAATTTTATATGGAATCTCTACAAATCAATTAAACTCCATAAAAATCCATGGATTTATAAATCCATTAAAATCTCACATTCTCAATTGAATACACCCCCTAATATTCAGTCACATGACTTTTCAGTATGATTTGCCTACTCAAGCAGGAGAAATTTTTTATTGTGATGGAAATAAATGTTTTTATATAAATAGTGAGAAATTTTATTTGTTTAAATTATTAATTTTTTAACATATATATTTTATAAGTTATATAATAATACATGAGGTATTAATTCGTTTGTCGGTTACATCGAAAAATCTCTACTTTCATATTGGACGCACTGACATTCCACAATAAAATATGCTGAAAGAGTGAAAAACTAATTGATAATGGACACGTTTTCATTTGTTATGTTCGTTCAAGTTTTAATTTTTTAGTTGTTTTTTGACGTGTCCTTTTGTGTTTGGAGACTTGTTTTATCACGTGTACATCTCTCACCGCACGATCTAACACCAGCTAATTAAGATAAGGGTATGCTATCCACACATCCTATTTTACTTTTTACACACCTCTCGTTAATTAATATCCATTGATTTTCTACAATTCATGTGTTATTATATAAATGATGGGACATGTATGTTAAAAAGTTAATAATTTAAAAAATAAATTTTCTTATCACTTACATAAAAACAGTAATATACCACTTATATTTTCGTTATAAAAAAATTTCTCGGAAAAACATGACTAGAAGACTGTGTTATCCAATAGACGCTTTTACCAATGACGTTTGAAGCAAAGAAAAAAGGGTTTCAACGCGATCCCACACTTTATTTATGACCTGCAGTTACAATCAAATAATCGCCAGTCAGATTTTTGAAAAGTTATCAGCAGCATACACCGAGACCCGTTACTGCTAGCTCTCTTAGTTCATCAGATGCACTTATCAAACCCTAAAGGTGCAGTACAGGTAATAGTTTAAAATTTAAGGAAAACTAATGAAAAAACTTTGAAAACTTTGAGTTTTAACGATAATAACAAAATAAAGGGTAAAGTGAATAGTATCAGGATTGACTTTTTAGTGTAAAAATATGATTTTTCGTTAAAATGAACAGTACCGGAAAATTTTCGTTAAAATTTCCTAAAATCTAACGTCGGAAAATATATGAGGACACAGTAATGAATCATATCAACATCTGGAATTATATCCTACCATAAAATTCAAAACTAATTTTCTTACCCTAGAGGAACACATGCAACGAAAACTTCACATGACTTAAGTATTTGGACTGATCAACCTCAATTTCCACAGATATTCACAAGGAAACATTTCCAGCAATAACCAGAAAAAATCAAAGTTCTGTTAGTTTTTTTCAACACACTGCGTTAGCAGTAATTAGGACGTTGCAATAACCAGAAAAAACTGACGAGTCTTAACCGAAATCAAAGCTGATTACGACCCCTATGGTGGTGGGTTTATTTGATGTTAGCTCGAGCTGAAGTTCTTCAAACTGCAGTTGGTAACAACATTAATAGGGCGCAGTTACGGAACGGTAACATTTTACTATTATAGGGAATTGCGAGCTGTTCGATTTCTGAGCTGGAGGTGGTGATCAATGGTCCAGATTCAAATTTTATTTGTTGGGCAATCTTTAGATTTTGATCTAATAGTTCATAACTTCATGTGTTTTTTCAAATCCAAAGGCCAAAAAAAAAAAAAAAAAAAAATCCAACGATTGAAATTTGGTTGGTTGTGTGTATTAAAGTTTGGTTGGTGGTGTATTAAAGTTTGGTTGGATGTTTGTATATTGAAGTTTGGTTGGTGCGTGTATTAAAGTTTAGCTGGTCGGTTTGTATATTGAAGTTTGGTTGGTGTGTGTATTGAAGTTTGGTTGGTTAGTTTGTCCATTGAAATTTGGTTGGTGTATATTTTAAAGTTTGCTGTGTATTTTGAAGTTTGGTTTGTGTGTATTTTGAAGTTTGGTTAGTGTGTAAATGTGCGGTCTAGTTTAAGTTGTTTAACTAAAGTTCAAGAATCATTTGCTCTAACTGGCTCCGTCTAGTATAAGTGTGTGGTTTCACGAGCATTATTTCAACCAACCTCTTCCTCACTCCCTTTTTTCTTCTTATTCTCTTCCCCAAAAACCCTAACCACTGCACACACCCACAGATCCTGGCTAAAACCATGACCATCGCAACAGATCCTAGCTAAACCAATGACCAACTGAACCGTTTTTCTTCCTTTTCATTCCTTACAGTGTTTACCCCAGCTCAACGACATTGTGCGCCTGTTCTCGCTTAGTACGTGTTTGCAACGATCATCAAATACGAGACAAACATCCTGCATCCTATCCTCCATTTGGATCTCCAGCCTTATTTTCTGATGGCTTGCTGGGTTGATCTTCACCCTACACCAAGTAAGGGTACAGGTTTTTCGAGAGGTTATTCCATTAGTTCTTGGTAACTCGGATGAGTCGACTCGTACTTTAATATCTTTTTTTAATTGTACGAACTGAACACTAAACATCAAGTTTATGCATGATACGTGTCTGAGTTGTACGACTAAAAAAAAAAAAGACTAAAGCTCAAGTCGACTCATCCGAATTACCAATAACTGACAGAATTTAATCTTCGAAAATCCACAACCATTTCTTTGTGGAGGGGTGCAGACTGACCTAGCTATGGATAGGAGATACTCTGTCGTCAAAGTCTTCATAGAAAAACAGGGCCGGAGGTGGAGGACAGAATGCAGGAGGTTTGTCTCGGTTAATCGCTCATTAAGAGTAGACATTTTTGTAATTTTCAGTTTAAAATATTTAAATGCCATAAATAGAAAAATGAATAGATATTTTTAAATAGTAATAATATTAATCCATCACTGTTCTGTTTCTATTTTCTCAGGTTTTGCTCGTTGAGCCTTCTGTTCAGGAATAAGTATTTCCTTAGCTTTACAACTTTTACTTGCTCATATCATTTTTTTTCCCTTCTAGTCACGGGACACCTATAAATGTATACAGAGGAACTCAGGGATTTTATGAATATAAAATATTTCAAATTTAGGGGCAATTGTGAAAAGCTCAACAACGACAAAGCCTTATCTGTTGGATAATGGCCAAATTAGTGGCCAAGTGGAAAACAAGCCAAATCACCTTTCGGTTATTAAACAAAACAAAAGAATGAAGGACATAATGATGTGGGAACATCATTAGGAGGTTTTCCTTTATGATGTGGCCACATGAGTGGCAATTATGATGTTTGTTCTTTTTGTTTATATTAAGGCATTTGGTTATGCCTTTGGTTTTGGGGGGAGCGGCATCAGATGAGAGCCATACCAGGGAGAGTGTTCGGCTCTCCCATTTGAAACAATGATGCTCCTTCCCATTTGTTTGTAATCCCCTTTTATTAGTAATTCCTCAATCAAAGATGTTGCTGCTACATGTTGTGTAGCTTTTGGGAGAGATGGTATTTGCTATTATAGCTTATTGGTTTCATATTTGACGCTTCCGCACAACATTATCCAGTTGGTGGGTCGGCTGTATGAAACCTGGAAAGCTACTGAGTTCGGTTTTGCGTCAAGTCTTTTGTTAAGTTCAAGTACTCCACGTCTTTTCTTAGTCTTTTATCAAGTCTTCCTAGGTCTTACCTGTTTTGCCCTAAACTTTTGTCTCATAATCGCATCTTATAACCAGAGCATCGGTAGGTCTTCGAATCACATGTTCAAATCACCTTAACCGATTTTCTTTAATTTATCTTTTCTTGTGAAAAATCCAAATCGGAAAAGCGAAGAGAGTGAGGGAATTTACTTATGATTGTTTTGCCATATGTGATAAACATAGTTTTAGATTCGAGAACATATTACAATGGTGTCATTGCAGTTGAATCTGTTGACCTTCTAAATATTAGTAACCGACCAACAATGATGGCATCCAGCACTAATCAATCTGAATGGCAAGCAGCAGCTTCCTTATTATCCACTTTGATGTCCATTGCACGTGAACAAACCTATGTGGAGTTTGAAAAGGTCATTGCTTTTATATATATATCTCAACTTTGATGGGTGTGTTTACTTGAGCTCATTCTCTATGGCAGCACCTGAAAAATCTTCCATATCGTTTTTCACATGATACACTTTCAGAAAATGATATCCGGAAAAGTTGTTCACGCATTTGTCTTGATATATTCAGCAGTATTATATAATTCTTGTTGTGCATTGGGTTCAGAATTTGTTTATTTAATAAGAAACAGAATCCATTTTGACAAGTTAGATGGTTTCATGTGTTTTGTATTGTATTATTCACCGATATCGTATTTTCATCCTTTGGTTTTTTTGAGTCAGATACCTAAACTCAGATATTGTTAGAACTTACCAAGGGTTATCTGTTAAGCCACAAAATCACTCCTCTAACTCATTCCTAGTATTATGTTTTAGTTATTGATGCTAAACTAACCAGATCAGTGAATCTGAATTAAACAACACTAGCGAAACCTTGATATGCATTTTTGATATCTTTCTTTGTTGTTGATGTTTGCTCCCTAATATGTTGGACAATTATGAATATTTTGGATCTTGCTATAAAATGTCAGTAACTTTTGCTGACCTTGCCTGAAAACTGTATGTGCTCTATTTAAGATCTCTTTTTAGTTTTTTTGGTTTCTTGTTGTCCATCTTCTTTAAATTCGTAATCTTACCAACTTTTATAAGCATTTACTGTATAGGAACATTTCGCAAAAGGCACAACTTGCATTATGATTGTTTTGCGAGACGCCATAATAATGGGGACAGATTCAAGGATAACAGGTTACCATGGTGGCATCCGTGGGACAGCCATTAAACTTCATGAGATTAGTGCTCAACGTCAAGATGTAATGACATGACTCATTAGGCTTATATCGTGGATAGGGTATCACATGATGTGGAACTTAGCGGTCGAATGACGTTTGACCAAATTATTGAGAATGCCAAGTATTATATTACACATAACGACTCTCATCAATGATTTTCGTTACATATTGGCTCTATAGAGGCTGGGGTATGCAATTTTAAACTTTCAATTTTCCTTAATTTTCTCTTTAGTTTTATTCATATATTTTTTTCTGTAGCAATTATATATACACACAACACATATTTTACGCAGAGACCCAAGGCATACTATTTGGAGCATTATGTTTTCATAGATCATGTTTTTGGTGTAAAGACCCTTGTCCAAGTGATCCATTTTCTATGAAAGAAACTGGAGGGAATGTGCATACGGATGGGGAGCGGTCATGGATTCGGAATCAAACATCTCGGTGATCTATATAGTAAAGTCATACATGTTGATAGAAAGACTTTGAACGTCACAAGTCGGATATAATAGTCTCCCTGCAAGTATGTCAATGCATGACCTCATTTTCTTTTATATTGGGCCCGTTAACTGATGGTTCAAAGTCTCTCTATCAACATGTATGGCTTTACCATATAGATCACCAACACGTCTGATTCCAAATCCATAGCCGCTAACATTCCATCCAGTTTCTTTCATAGAAAATAGGCCACCTTGGACAATTACAGAGAGGGTGTTTACACCCAACAACATGATACATGAAAACATAATGCTCCAAATAGTATGTCTTGGGTCTCTGCGTAATATATATATATATATATATATATAATTGCTACAGAAAAAAATATGAATAAAACTAAAGAGAAAACAGAGGAAAATTTAAAGTTTAAAATTGCATACCCCAGCCTTTATAGAGGCAATCTGTAACGAAAATCCTTGGTGAGAGTAATTGTCATTCTCAATAATTTGGTCAAATGTCATTCGACAACTAAGTTCCACATCATGTGATACCCTATCCACAATATAAGCCGAATCAATTATGTCATTACATCTTGATATCGTTGTTTGTGGTTGAGCACTGATCTCATAAAGTTTAACTGTCCCAAGGATAGTAACCTGTTATCCTTGAATCCGTCCTCATTATTATGGGATCTCACAAAACAATCATAAGGCAAGTTATGCCTTTTGCAAAATGTTTTTATACAGGAAATGTTTATAAAAGTTGATGAGATTACGAATTTAAAGAAGATGGATAATAAGAAAACAAAAAAACTAAAAAGACATCCTAAAACAAAATCCAAAAGCATGCATACCAAAGACAAATCCAGATCTCACCTCGAAGCTTCCACTGTTAGGCTGGTTTCTTCCTATTCCCGGATCCGCGGGGGCTCTTGGCCTCGGATCTGGTTCTGGCTTTGGATCGGCGTTTCATGGGAAAGAGAGAGAGAGTGAGTGTTTCATAGGTTTGCTGGGAGAGCGGGGTACAGAGACGAGTAGGGTTCGGGCAATTCTTCCTTATGTACTAACTTTTTCATGTTATTTGACCATGCTGCCCTTCGTATAATTACACCCTTATATACCCATTTTTCTTGTCCGAAAATAAACTGTTATACACTGTCCTTTGACCATGCTGCCCTTCATATAAATACATAGTGGGTCCCAAAAACATGTTAGTCTATGGCTTAGTTAGGCATCACACAAAACGCTTTACAAATTTTTTTTTCAACTCACTTCAAGTCAAGTCAATTCAACTTAGTGGAAGCATGATTCTATAACACATGGTAAGAAAGACTGGAATGCCTATAACCTATGAAGCACAGTTTGGCAAGCCAAGTTTGGGTCTATTAAGTAAGAAAACCCTAATTAAAATATCTTAGAAATTAAACAACATAATCATAAAGGTATTAACTTCTCCAACATGCAGAGTTTGACATGAAAAAGGAGGGTGCATGGGCCGTCTGAAATGCCACTTCTAGAGGATCTCATGAATAAATTCAGTATGCTCCACCCTTACCACTGGATTGTGTCTATTAGATTGATTATGTGATTGTCGCTCTTGTTGTGTTTACGCGGAGTTAGAACTAAAATGATGGCTACTGCTTTATGTGTTTGTTTCTAGTTTATTTTTTCCAATATTTTTAAGGGTTAAATGGAACATTTGAGGGGAAGTCTAGAAAGCATTGGGAAGGTTTCAACTTTGAATAGAATTTTCTTGGAGGCATAACAAGTGTCAAGCCATGTAAGCACTTTGATGGATTTTCTCAGGCGGCAATGGCAACTGCTGTAATTCATGCCCAACAAAGGAGACTGTTAAAAGCCGGTAAAATGGAGTTCAGATTTGTGATTCTGTGCTCCGGTTTGGGCTCACGAAACTAACCAAGTCTTTGGAGGAGGAGTTCTCCTCACATATTTTGCAGTGGAGCTTGGCAAGGACAGGTAGATTGCAAACCAAGCAAGTAGAGCTTGCTTCTTTATTGGACACAGGTCATATCATCGACGCTCGTCCTCCTTACACTGACCGGATTAAGGACTTTCTTGGCAGCTTTCTCTAAATGGAAGACAACCGACCTTTAGAGTCCAGAGCTCAATTTCTACAGATATATATAAGGATCTTGACAACCAAGAATCTCTCGGCTTCGCAGTGGTTAAGCTTAAAGGAGATGTTAATGGCAGTACTAGTACTATTGATAGGTAGGAAGCTACTGAATCTTATTCGATCATGAAGAAAGATGAGGGGAAAAAAGATACAAAAATGATTAGTCTTGAGTGCGAGCCAGAAAGTTATCGAATCATCCACGACCAAGAAGCAGTCGGAGTATGGAGCCACAAGGCAACATGTCAAGATCAAGTTCAGAAGCATAAATATTGACCTCTACTTTCAACTTTTCAGAATCCAACTGCAAATGCAGGATGTGCAAGAACTAATGTTCAAAGGAGCAGATTTCAAATGACATTATGCTCTCAAGGGTATAGAACTAGATTAGCAGTAGGTCTCGGGTTCGAGACTTGGGAGCAGCCTCTTCATAAATGGGGGTAAGGCTAGCCGACATTCACCTCTCCCAGACCCTGCGTAAAGCGGAAGTCTTGTGCACTGGGTACGACCTATTCAGAAAAGAAGGGATTCCTAAAAAACGATGAATTGCTTCGCTTAAAAGAAAAAGATTGTAGAATTTTCATCTCATCAGATGGGATAGTTTGTGAAGGCATGCATCTCTCGTAGTTGTTATGTTTTAATACATCAAGCAATTCTTTAACACCTTTAACATAGGAGTATCCTTTCCCTGTTCATATTTTCAGGCCTGCAAAGTTAAATGAAATACTTTCCTGTAAGATTCAGATTCCAGAAAGAAAGAGCGCATATAGATAAAAGCAAATTGTATGAGAATGTAATCATGTGAAAGCAGAGACTTCAGTTCTTTAGTCTCTCCAATCAATACAACTGACAATATTTTGGAAGTCATTCAGAAGCAATTTGTGATGAAGATTTCAAACGTAACAAAGGAGATAATAAGAAAGTAACAATTCCTGTGGTAATGGTTTTGGAATCAGCACAACGTATCTACATTTTGCAGGATAATGTAATTCATAATAAAAACTATGTCATACGTAGCAGTTGTGACCATTCAACAGGATATATACCATGTTGCAATCTTGACCACCAGCATTTTACAATAGTATATCGTTTTCCCTGCTCTTTTCGAATTTGAAACAAATGATTAACTCTAACAGAAGACTGTGATTGCAAGTTGAACCGTTCCCCGAAAATGCGGATTAAACACAGGATACTGTTTCACATTCACCACGTACTTGAGAGTCATGAAAATATTGATATATTGAGATTTCAATGGCTAACAGTTTATGCTGCAAAAGGTTTTCACAGACTAGAACCCCACAGTTCGTAAACCATTGTTCTTCACTATCAGTGCCAAACTTCATACAGCAAGAAAAATAACCGTTTACACAAGATTATTAGCAGAAAAAACGAAGCAAAATGAAAAGTCATTCTCAAGTACATTCTAACAGCTAAGAATAAAGTAAAAACTAACGAGTGATGCAGTATTTGACATACAAAAATGACCACTGACATGGCTGGGAAGTAGTAAGAAACAACCTTCCAAATCTAGAGGCCTTCCATCGTTAAAGAATGTTCTTGCTAGCTCCACCTGGGGTAAAAATAATTTTGTGATACACAAATTGACATGCTATACCTGGGACAAAAAATACATACTTAAAATGTCCAATTTTGGTTCAATTCCTTTCAAATTGAACAAAACTATACACTTTAACTTGAGTTCTAACATTTATTTTCACAAAAGCTTCTCAGAAGCCAAACTACCAACTGAATCTTAAAACTCTGTTCAAAGTTGTTGACTGAAAGATGAAAAACATGCACTGATATCACATTGGATTCACTTAGCAGTCCTAGTAAACATAATTTTACATCACCAAGTACAAGTGTACCTCATCACTAACTCCCTTATCGAATCGTTCACGCAGTCAGGTGCTTGCATTTGATTTATTCTTCAAAAGACATTCTGCACACAGAATCCCACTTGTTATTAGCTGAATATTAAGTACAACATTGCATGACATCAAAAATTTCAATTTCCATAAAACCAGTGAAAGTTGATAAATTGCTCTCCTTTTCTTGATTATAATACAACCCAATTGAATTAACAAGAGAACACAACACAATTGAAGAAAACAGAAAAAGATAGGGATTGGGGTTACCTAAAGAAGGCAGGGGGACATCGTGGTAAAAGGAGTCACAAACAACGGTGTCCATGATGTCAAAGAGGATTATGAGAAACATTCAAGTGGTACGATGTCGTGGGTTGTTACAGCCATCGTTGCATAGAAACAATCAAATATATATCAGCCTCCTCTCACTTAAAATGACTAAAGCAGTTATTGATGATTCGACATTATGCACAATTACTCAAAACATGTTTAGTTAATCCCTTAAGCCCAGACACCACATTAAAACGTGCACTCACTGGAAAAAACACAGAACAGATGACATTCATTTGGATCAAAAGCAAACAAAATCCACAAATCAAATGGCTTTCAATTTGGGAACTATGGTTCATGTAATTTCAATCCATTCATTCACTGTGATAACAATCCTACAATCTACCGCAAATCCTACTTTTATTTATCCTTATATTAAATCCTATAATCTATCCCAAATCCTACTTTTATTTAACCTAGCTAATTTCAAACCTACACTTTAAATCCTAGTGTCTCATATCTAATAGTCATTATACTCTATCAGATTGTAGACAAAATCTGTTGTAATCCTTGACAAATATAGTTTACGTGCCACTTTTAGCCGCTTTGTTCCTTCCATTGTGTGAATTGCTACATAATACAATCTTAAATCTTTGCAGTCATCTTAATCATAAAATCTTGGTGATTCTTCAACCATTTGTAATCTTTCGGACTTAAAAAAACCTTCTCAAGTTCACTTTTTCCTGTAAATATCACAATTCGAAGATAAAAGTGTCCTTGGAGATAAGACAACACATAAAGGGAGAGACTCTCGTGCAATCCTACATTCACGTAGACAGTCAAAAAGAAAATAATTTCTTTTTATTTTTTAACATACATAACCAATATAGTATTTACTTACAGAGAATCATCCTCAAGGATAATATTTCCATTATCCTTTAGGTCAAGGTCAGCAGGGTAAACCAAAAATAAAGCTTTGTCCTCCAAACCACTCAACGTAAGAGCACCAATTTTTTTATAAGCATCAATGAAACTGTAGATTTGAGGAGTGTTAGTAGCTTCTGAAGTAATCTCAGCTATTGTTTAGGTTTCAAAAAAAAAAAAACATATATATATATATATATCATTTAAATATAAGACAATGATGATGTTATAATTAACAGTAAAATATTAAATTTGTTATGTTACCTCCAAACGGAGGATCGAAATCCGGATCGTCCAACACAACAATAAACAAAGCATGAAGGGCATCTTCTTATGCTTGAACCAATTCGACTGATATTGAGCCTACCTCCAACTGATGGTTATCAGTTTGTCTATCCTTATAATACATTTTTTCATATAAAGAGCCGAGATGCGTTATAACCCAAAAGAAGATACATTTTTTCAACTGATGGGCAGTGGTATAACGCATCTCGGCTCTTTATATGAAAAAATGTATTATAAGGATAGACGAACTAATAACCATCAATTCGAGGAAGTCCCAATAGCAGTCGAATTGGTTCAAGCAAAAGAAAATGCCTTCATACTTTGTTTATTGTTGCGTTGGACAATCCAGATTATGGTCCTCCGTTTAGAGGTAACATAACAAATCTCATATTTTATTGTTAATTATAACATCATGGTTGTCTTATATTTAAATGATATATGTTATTTTTTAAACCTAAAGATTACTTCAAAAGGTATTAGGACTCTTCAAATCTAAACTTTCACTGATGCTTATAAAAAATTTGGTGCTCTTAGATTTGGTGGTTTGCTTTATTTTTGGTGTAACCTGCTGACCTTGACCGAAAGGATAATGGAAATATTATCCTTGAGGATGATTCTTGGCAAGTAATACTATATTGGTTATGTACGTATGTTAAAAAATAAAAAGAAAATATTTTTATTTTGACTGTTTATAGTGAATGAAGGATTGCACGAAAGTCTCTCTCTAAATGGGTCATGCGTTGGCTTATCTCCAAGGACACTTTTATCTTCGAATTGTGACATTTACAGGCAAAAGTGAACTTGAGAAGGTTTTTAAGTCCAGAAGATTACAAATGGTTGAAGAATCACCAAGATTTTATGATTCAGATGACTGTAAAGATTTAAGATTCTATTATGTAGCAGTTCACATAATGAAAGGAACAAAGCGGCTGAAAGTGGCACATAAACTTTATTTGTCAAGGAATACTTAACAGATTTAGTGTACAATCTGATAGAGTATAGTGACTACTAGATATGAGACACTTGGATTTTCAAGTGTAGGTTTGAAATTAGGTTAAATAAAAGTAGGATTTGGGGTAGATTATAGGATTTAATATTAGGATAAATAAAAGTAGGATTTGCGGTAGATCGTAGGATTGTTATCACAGTAAATGAATGGATTGAAATTACATGGACCATGGTTCCCAAATTGAAAGCTATTTGATTTGTGGTTTTTGTTTACTTTTGATCCCAATGTATGTGTGAATGTCACAAACAATAGTATACTTCAAGTTCATGCATCTTTGGAACACGTTTTTTGCTTGACTGCAGTTTGTATGGAGATTTTATCAACTGATAGAGCAACAATCACCAATGCAGGATGTACTAAAGCAAAAAATCGATCTATCTCTATCCATCTCGTGATTCTTAATGAACAAAGATTAAATCCATCCACTGAAATGAACAAAAAAAGAAAGAAATAGTTGGTTTACCTTGAACAAATTCTCCAAATCAGCCAAAATGATGCTCATGATGTCAAAATTACGTGCATGCATATATTTTTGTAGCCTCTGAAAAGCAAGAGACGAATCCAATCAGCTAAGAATGCTATCGTACGTGATTTCACTATGCCACAATAGATGAAAATTAGCGTAGGAAGGCATAAAAAATCAATGAGCGGATAGTTTTTACCAGTAAATGAGGGAAAGGAAACATAACCGTCACGACTCGTTAACACCACAACAAAAATGACCACTGTGCACAATAAATGATCTGTGCCCTTTGAGGCCAAAAAGCACCAACAATTGTGCCCATAGACCAATAGCAACAATGCAGCAACTAAAATATTGTCTGTGCCCTCTATGGGCGTCACCATTTGTCAAATGGCACAATAAGGTATGCTGTGTTGAAAAGTGTAAGCACAAATAAAGGTCATTTTGTGCCCAATTCTGACAAAGTTGTCAAGTGACTGCTACCACCCATGTTAGCACATTTATTGTTATTGTGCCCAATATGTCAACTATTTAAAAAAATATTTAAAAACCCAAATCACCTACAAATTGAGATTTGAGGCTAAACAAAAAATTATTTTTCATAAAATTAAAACAGCCCACAACCACAAGCATCTATAATATTACAATTTACAAAGATATTCACAACCATTATATATAAAAACAACTATAATTTTACATATTCTATCCCCAACTAAAATAAAACTAAAATTATAAAGGTTTAAGTGAATATCGGTTCTCTCAAGAATAAGAACATCAAATATTAAGGTTTTAAGTGAACCTGCACAGTTCTTTTCTCATCTTCTAGTTCCAAAATTTTCTTTCCAAAATGTTGCTTGAGTGCCTCAGTGTCAGACCCTTCAAAATTTACACAGAGCAACAAGAAATGAGTATGTAGTGGCTTCCAAATTTTCAAATTATGATTCTTTATCTTTTATCTCATGAGCTGTTGTATATCCTTCCTCCCACAGATTAATTGGTGTAATTCTGCTATGTATACACGCACTTGTTTGTGATTCAAACATAAAGACTTTTGCCTGACACTTTAATAACATTCTTATATGGATGGCAAGCAATCCTCACACAAATTAGGACATAAAAATAGAATCCAAAGTCCCTATAATATAATTCTCACTCTTTCAAATGTAAATAACTAAAGAAAGAAAGATGCAGAAGAGAAGATGCCACATCTACCTATGAGACAGATAAGGCAAGTCAAGACGACACCACACTCCGATACTTAGAAGTTTCGTGATTACGAGATCATTCTTCCACAATATTTCCTAATGTCATTTGTACTAAATCATTCACTTGTACTCACTAAAGGAGAGCTTGAACCTATGTACTTGTGTAAACCCTTCACAATTAATGAGAACTCTTCTATTCCGTGGACGTAGCCAATCTGGGTGAACCACGTACATCTTGTGTTTGCTTTCCTATCTCTATCCATTTATATACTTATCCACACTAATGACTGGAGCAATCTAGCGAAGATCACAAAAAGCGACCGTTTTCGCTACCTAGGATCTATCTTGCAAGAGAACGGAGAATTAGATGGAGATTTCAACCATAAAATACGAGCTGGATGGAAAGAGTGCATCCGGCGTGTTGTGTGACCGTCGTAGGCCACTGAAGCTCAAGGGAAAATTTTATAGGACGGCAATAAGGCCAGCGATGTTGTATGGCACAGAATGTTGGATGATGAAACATCAACACGTACACAAAATGGGTGTAGCGGAGATGAGGAGGCTTCGTGGGATGTGTGGGCACACGAGAAAGGATAAGATTGGGAATGAGGATATCCGAGGTAAAGTAGGAGTAGCCGAAATTGTAGGAAAGATGAGAGAAAATCAGCTCCGGTGATTTGGACATGTGCAAAGAAGGCCGACTGACGCTCCGGTTCGAAGATTGTGACTACGGGACAGAGGTTCAGGGCCGAAGGGGTAGAGGAAGACCTAGGAAAACTTTGGAAGAGACTCTAAGAAAAGACTTAGAGTACTTGGATCTAACGGAGGATATGACACAAAATCGAGCGCAATGGCGTTCTAGGATTCATATAGCCGACCCCACTTAGTGGGAAAAGGCTTTGTTGTTGTTGTTGTTGTAGGAGATTAGTAGTTGGTCTGGAGTTTAATAGATAGAACACAGAAGTGTAATGGAAAAAAATTATACACCTTGCGATGGGCATCAGAATTAACTATAAGATATAATCAAACTTCACCTTAATCTAAAAGCGCAAAGCTTTATATAATACCCAGGCTTGCAAAGGAAAGTAATCCCAAACCACGTAAGCACACATCAAGAAAAACCCAAACTTAGAAAGCTACAAAAAGGTCTACACATGGACATGCACATGGGAATAAGAATGAGAGATTTGGTACAACGTTGTAAAAAAGAGTCTTAACATTACTGGGTAAAAGTTAGCATACCATCCAATGATGGGCACGGTGCCAACATGAAAAAGAACTGGCTTCCATTTGTATTTGGACCAGCATTCGCCATCGATAAGATGCCAGCTCCAATATGCTTCAACTCTTGTTTTATCTCGTCCTCAAACTTTCCCCTAAAACCCATTATACAAAACAAGTTCTTCACTATGGTTCTCAAATCTAATTAAAATCGGGGGTAAAAAAAAAAGGCAAATTTCAATACATTATGGGAAATTCAAGGGAATTTTTTTTCACCCATAAATGGATTCGCCACCCTTTCCTGCCCCAGTGGGATCACCACCTTGCCCTATGAAATCCTACCCCAATTCCAATTTAACCGTCAGTAATATATATATATATATATATATATATATATATATATAATAATAATTAAATACACTACAAAAGCAGAAAATATGAAACCTGGATGAGTAATATCCTCTGCGAGCGAGCCCCATGAAGTTCTTGCAAGTCCTCGGCGAACGTTTGTAATACTATTTTTAACGATTTGAAAACACAAATAATGTCAAAGATACAAACTTTATGGATTGAATTGTCCGTTTGGTTACTGAGAAAGTGAAAGAAAATTGAAGGGAAAGTTTGGGAAAAAGGAGAATTTACCTCGATGGTGAAGATGTCAATGGTGGTTTCTAGGGTGGCCTCCGGTGGCCCTCCTTTTTTGCTTGCCCACATCTTTCTGACTCGAAGATTCTCCTTCATCAAATCCGGATCAATGTAGCTTGAAGAAGACAATAGTAGGAAAGAAAATCAAATAGATCTATATATTTTTTGAAAATCAAATCAAATAAGAGAGAATTAGAGAGAGACCGAATCTAGGATTTGGGAAAGTAGAAAATAAAGATGGACCGAATCTGGGAGTTATGCTTTGGATTGGTTCATCAAAAACCACCAGATCGGGAAAAGGAAGAGAGACGGACCGAATCTGGGAAGGTAGAGAGAGAAAGGGAGTCGGAGAGAGAGACAGAGGTGAGAGAAAGAGAGTCTGAGGGAGGCAGAGCAGAAGATGAAAGTAGGGAGAAGGATAGATGAGAGAGGGGGAAAGAGAGATCATTTTTACCTCTTGCATCGAGGTCCAATTCCGGCAGCCTTTGCCGGAAATTGGCAGGAAAGCCCACGATCTCCGTTGCTTAGATCTGAAATTGAGGAAATTCGGCTAAGAATTTGGAGAAACAAACTTGGGAGTTGGAAAGAGGACGACAAGAGGATTCTGGAGGTATAATTAGACGGTCGTTGGTGACGGGTGAACAGAGGCTTTGTTGCGTGAAAGAGGAGGGAGAGAGCGAATGGGGGAGAGAGGAAGATTGCTGAGGAGGTCCGGAGGACAAGGAGTTAAGTTTAAGACCTAGTTTGGGAGTGAGGTGATTAAAAAAAAACACCCATGAAAAAAAATTGTGAGGATTTTAGGTGTTTGGTAAACTGAAAAAAAAAGGCTTATTTTGGAAGCTGCTGTGAGAATAAGCTGAAATCAAAGGAAAAAGCTGAAGCTGTTATTTGCAGCTTTGGAAAACTGGCTTTTTTTCAAAGCACACGGAGCTACAGTGCTTCTTTAATGAAAAGACCCACTATTAGACTGCTTTTTTTTTCCAAAATCACTTTTACAAAAAAATTTACTAAACACTTTGCTGATTTATTTCACAGCCGCTTATTCTCAAGCAGTTTTTTTTCAAAGCACAGCAATACCAAACCAGCTCTAAGAGAAGAGAGAGAGAGAGAGAGAGAGAGAGAGAGAGAGGAAAGGCGTGAACTAAATGTAAAGAATTGAGAATGGGAAAAAGTAAAACCAAAGGACATGAAGGCCTACTTTTAATTTAAATATATTACATTGGAGAGCACGAAAACTTTTATTGTGCTTTAGTAAATTAATAAACAAATCTCATTTCTGACATTTAAGGGTGACACATGCAAGTAGGCACAAATACACTTCATTTTTGGCACACGCCGGTGTTCCTTTTGCTTAGAGGGCACATATAAAATAGTTTTGTGTTCAATGATACTCAAAACGCACAGATATGTATTGGTGCTCAATGAAAATGAAAAGGACACAGATCAATTGTGTTCTTAGCCCACTTTTCTTGTAGTGTAAACATAACCAAAAACTTTATTGACGCAATTCCCTTATAAGTTTCAAGAATTTTATGAGCCTTGCATGGAACTTGGAAGAGAAGTAATCTTCAAGTACCTTGGTTTTCTTAATCGTCAAGTTCAGCAGGAATGCTGGTTGACATGTAATCATCCAAGACCTATTGAAGGTCTTACCCCTCATAACTAATTCCTTCCCAACAACAAGAAGAAAATAGGTTTCTATGAACTTCAAGTTTGTTCATAAAATAACTTGCTTCTTAAATCCGTTCTTGTGTTTCCATTTTTAATTTTTTTTAAAAAAGAAGAGAAACAATTGCCTTATTATATTTTTTTTGGGCCAAGTGCTTTCAGATTAGAAAGGAGATACAGAAAAACCTGCTAAACCAAGCAACATAATGAAAAACACCTTCTTCTTTTTTTTCAAATAACAAAAGATAAAGATGAAGATTTACCTTCTAAACTGCATCTCCGTTTGTAGTTTCGACCAAGTGTGGGTGATGAGCGCATAACAAAACTCATGTCGATGCACTTGGAGATGCAGGTAGAGCTACTGATGATATCGTAATTAAAGCCTTTACTGAAACCTCAACGGACTGAAGGAATAGTACTATGATTGACTTTTTAGTGTAAAAATATGGTTTTTTGTTAAAGTAAACAGTACCAGAAGTTTTTTGTGAAAGTTCCCTTAATTTAATTAGCAAAATAGAAAATAAAATTAATAAACACTGTCTGGTTAAATAGTCCCACCACACAGCAACTCTTTCGGTTATGCCCTTGGCCATATTTGTCAATTTAGTAAAATGATGATATCCAAATAAGGCACATAAATTTAGTATAACAATACAATTGATTAAAATTTTAAAAATGAAATTTTTTAACTAATGATGTTATGAAATTTGGTGTACTTAACTGTATTTTTGGCACACAAAAACAATTTCTCCATAACACGGAAGTGAAACCCCAAAATTTTACAAATTTTACCAAATGTAAACAAACATTGATGGATCCCCTCATCACATATTTATTTATTTTCCTGTTTATAGTATTTAAATATCTGAAATTACAAAAACATCCCCGCCCTTAATAGATGATTAAGAGGTGATTAATGATCGATTAACTATCAAGCCCAACCGTCCTCGACCAGATCCAATAAGAACCAACCCAAAAATCGTAATTTTTGGTTGTTTGCGCGGCAAATCTTACTAGATGTAAAAGCATCCTTAAATATCGTCCCATGTCGTATTCATCCAACTTTTGTTTGAACATCCAAGTTTATGCATGTGGTTTTTTGTGTGCGTGTGTGAGTCGGAGGAGTAAAAAGAAAGAGATTTAAAGAACGAGTCGCTCACCCAAAGTATCAAGAACAGATGGAATTTCAGCTTGGAAAATTCGTACCTGTCTCTTGGTGGAAACGGTGGAGACCGATCTCACAATAGATAGGAGACCCTCTTTCTTCGTCGGAGTCGCCATCTGGAAATGGGGCGGGAGAGGAATGGAGGACATAAATCAGAATGGAGGAGGTTTCTGAAGTTATCGAAGGTAGAAAAAAGAAAAAATGGTTGAGTTTGTGATGGTTTTAGGTAGAATATTTTGCTCTGGCCATGGTTTCAGCAAGAAAGGTTGACCATTTGGGGGTGCGCTGTTGTTCATCGATTTCATACAATCTTCTTGAAGAACACACTGCAAAAACTCAAGATTTAAAAACGATGAAGAAAGAATATGAACTAGTTTGAGTTTAGTGTATGAATTAGGATGAATGTGGGGTTTATATGAACAAAAAAAAGAAAGAATGAGGTTGTGGATAATGTCACGTGAGACTACGTGATTGGTTGAAAATTTTATCGAATCTATTATAAAGGATTATAAACAGATAGTGACACGTGGCGTAACGAGATTTGTTCAAAATATTATCGAAAATCTATCTACAAAAATAGTGCTTTCAGATAATGACACATTGCATGACAAGATTGGTTAAAAATCTGCGATGAGATTGGCTCAAAATCTTATCTGAAAGCTATCCACAAAAATAGTACTTTCGGATTATAACACGTGGCATGACAAGATTGGTTAAAAATCTACGACAAGATTGATTCAAAATCTTATTGTAAATCTATCCACAAAAATAATACTTTTGGATAATGACACGTGGCATGACAAGATTAGTTAAAATTTCGCGATGTGATTGGTTTAAAATCTGATCGAAAATCTATCCACAAAAATAGTACTTTCGGATAATAACACGTGACATGACAAGATTGGTTAAAAATCCAATCCAAAATTAAAAATATAATTATTTTTATTATTTAAAATATATATTTTAATACGAATTGACTAGACCTTGGGCTAGCTCATTTTTAAGGAGTTGAAATGCATTTGGCTAATTATTGTTTATTGAAGTCAATTACTATTCATTTAGGTCGATTAAAGGGACTTTGGGCCAACTCAATTTTTAAGGGTGGAGTTGCTCTAAATTGAATTGGCTTGACTTGAAGTGAGTTGAATAAAAATTTTGTGAAGCATTTTGTGCGATGCTTAACTAAGCCATAGACTAACATGTTTTTGGGACCCACAATGTATTTATATGAAGGGCAGCATGGTCAAAGGACAGTGTATAACAGTGTATTTTTGGATAAAAAATAGGTATATAAGGGTGTAATTATACGAAGGGCAGCATGGTCAAAGAACATGAAAAAGTTAGTATACAAGGGAAGAATTTCCTCAGACATGGCGTCCTCCTATAATGTACTGGAGGAATCAGGCGTGAAATGGCATCAGCCTATAATGTACTGCAGGAACCACAACAAATGGAGACTGAGACTCTCTTCAGATGCTGAGCCCTCACCTCAGCTGCCTTGGAGACAGGGTAAGGTCCATAATCTTAATCTCTTTTGAACATAAGTTCTTGCACATCTTGCATTTGCAGTTGGGATTTTGAAAAGTTGAAAGTTTCTGAACTTGATCTTGACATGTTGCCTTGTGGCTCCAAACTCCGACTGCTTCTTGGTCATGGATGATTCGATAACTTTCTGGCTAGCACTCAGCACTAATATTAACACAACCATTTTTGTATCTTTTTTCCGCTCATCTTTCTTCATGATCGAATAAGATTCAGTACCTTCCTACCTATCAGTAGTACTAGTACTGCCATTAACATCTCTTTTAAGCTTAACCACTGCGAAGTCGAGAGATTCATGGTTGTCAAGATCCTTATCCGTAGAAATTGAGCTCTGGACTCTAAAGGTCGTTTGTCTTCCGTTTAGAGAAAGCTGCCAAGAAAGTCCTTAATCCGGTCAGTGTAAGGAGGACGAGTGTGGATGATATGACCGGAGTCGTGTCCAATAAAGAAGCAAGCTCTACGCTTGCTTGGTTTGCAATCTACCTGTCCTTGCCATGCTCCACTGCCAAATATGTTAGTATTACTCCTCCTCCTCAGACTTGGTTAGTTTCGTGAGCCCAAACCGGAGCACAGAATCACAAATCTAAACTCCATTTTACCGGCTTTTAACAGTCTCCTTTTTTAAGGCATGAATTACAGCAGTTGCCATTGCCGCTCGCTGAGAAAATCCAAACAGACCATCAAAGTGCTTACATGGCTTGACACTAGTTATGCCTCCAAGAAAATTAAGAATCTTATGTAACCGCTGCAAAAGCCCGCTGCATAACCACAAAATGGGAGCTCGTGTGAAACCCTTTATTTTAGGCGTAACAATGATGACTAGGGTTGCATTCAATAACTAAACCCCGACTCTGTTTGTCATTCTATATCCATGTTTTTTTTTTGTCCTCTGATAATCCAGTTGTTTTATTCAATCCAAAAGCTAAAAATAAACAAAGTTGAGCGCGCATGGGTTGAAGCACAGTTTTACAAAAATCAGTTCCCATGATTGTTCTATTGAAAGTTGAAACCTTCCCAATGCTTTCTAGACTTCCCCTCAAACATTCCATTTAAACCTTAAAAATATTGGAAAAAATAAACAAGAAACAAACACATAGACTTAACATGTTTTTAGGTCCCACAATGTATTTATATGAAGGGCAGCATGGTCAGTGGACAGTGTATAACAGTGTATTTTCGGACAAAAAAAAGGTATATAAGGGTGTAATAATATGAAAAAGTTAAGAGTAATACGATTCATATCATGTTTTTGTACCATATTTTCATACCATTTTAAGTGACATTTGATTTGGATAGCCATACTATTTGAATTAATTAGATTTTTAAATTTAGTTCATATTTAATAAACTAATAATTAGGAAAAACTAGTTAATTAAATGATAATTATAATATACGAGGAGTATTTCTCCTTCCTTTTTTTGTATAAAAACATGGTATGAATAAGCTACTATGTTGGAGAAGAATTGGCCGAACCTTAACCCTATCTACGTTACTTACTATAGTCTATCGCCAACCTCGTCTCTGTATCCCCCTCTCCCCACCAAACCCATGAAACTCTCACTCTCTCTCGCTCTCTTTCCCATGAAAAGCCGATCCAAAGCCAGAACCAGATCCGTGGCCAGGACCCTCCGCGGATCCGGGTCAGGATCCCGGGATAGGAAGAATCCAGCCCAACTGCTGAAGCTTCGAGGTGAGATCTGGATCGTCTTTGGTATATTTGCATGCTTTTGGATTTTGTTTTAGGTTTAGGGTTTGTGAGGTGTAAGGAAGAATATTCATAATTTCGAATTTGCAGCTTAATTTGGCTATCTCCGTTTGTAACTAGTTTTCGGTATAAGGAAATATAGAAAGATTGATTGAGTAGTAATTTAATTGTCTGTTTGGCCGGGGTATCTTACCTGGTAGAATTCTAATTCTCAACAAAATTCGTTTAGTTGGGGGGGGTATTAATTTCAAGTTTGGCATGCATATGCTGGCCTTTGTTATCCTCCTCACAAATCAACCCAGACTAAATCAAAGGAATAAGTGAATAAGAAGCGCGCTGTAGTAAGTATTTGATGATTTGGATGAGATTGATCGAGAATACAAATTAGTAATTAAGGGTCTTTATTTAAGTACGTGGTCGATCCAGATAACTTATGTATGGATATATATACTATTAACTATTTGTGCGTTAATTCCCTCAAACACATTTACAGATGAGAAGAAAGAGGTAAGGGTTGTTCAAGACTCTCTCTGTCCACACGGTCTTGGAAAAAAAGAAAGAAGAAGAAATTCCTGAGTGTGAATGTTGCGGTGGTGATGCCGGGGGTCCCCATTATAGTGTAAGCTGCCCGTATCTTCTGCAACTCCCACGGACAGTAAAAAGTGTTGGCAAGGGCTTTGTTATACTGTGTTTGCATTGTGGTTCCATTGATAACGAGTGCAGGCATGAACGAAAGCGTGCTCATAAACCTACGTGTTTTCGTTGTGGAGTGATCGGTGACAACTCGCACGGTGAATGCTGATTCAAGGAAAAAATGGAATTGAGACGTAGGAAATTAGCTGCAGGCAGCGTCTAGGGACATCGTCGTTGTCAAGTCATTCACGGTGGTTGCTTAATTTCCTGTCTTTTTCTTTGAGTAACTTCAGCACTAGCAAGCACGTACTTGTCTGTTCATATGTCTGATTTGATGCGTCGTCGTTCATGCCTGGTGGATGGATAGATACTAATTGGGTTGGTTTGTGCTTAATTGTACTTACCGGTCTTGGAATAGCTAACGTTGGCTCTTTTTTGGCAATTACTTAATTACCAACATTAAATGGTGAACCTTCTAAGCCGCACTGAGTGAAGCGTCGTTTGACATATGCTTGTAGGGCTTAGCCTGCAGTCATGTGAAATGTCTCTGTAGGTCTTAGCCGGTCCCGGTTGGTTGGGCTCGCTCAAAATGCCTTCTTGGACTAATTAAGCAAGAACTTTCAGTGTTCTGGTATTATTCTCTTGGGTGGAATTTGTCAACAAAACTAGATCTAATCAAGAACATTTATCATCATTGATTGATCGTGGTGCATGGTAGCCAGAAATTGGCAATGAAATCGATCTTGGCCTATCCTTTTCCTTCCAATGCTGGCTCCTGGTCCTGATCCGAATGAACTATCCTTTCCACGAAGATAAGTCTTTAACTGCTAGGCCCTGCCCGGGGGGACTGCCGGTAAATAAGACTAGGACTGGACACTTTTGATCCGGAAGCCAATCCGGGCGGGCGAAGAACAAAGGCTATATGATATAGGTTTTGTTTATGAATGTTTTTGACATACAGCGACCTGAGATAAAACTCCAGAATCTTAAGAACATGAATATCTCAAATCGAGCATAAAACTAGAGTTAATTTTCTGCCATTCTTTGAATTGGATATCCCAGCAGCATGTCAAAGTGCTACAAACGAAGTATGCAGTGTTATCTTTTCGCCTCGTAGTCGGACTCTTTGAAGAAGGAGATTCCCTCATCTCCTAATCTCTCCCTTTCTTTCCCCTTCTATTTGAACGGTTACGATTTAGCTACATCAACATCTTATGTTGATTTTTTTTTATAAAGATAGTAAGATAAAAAATAATATGTGTGAGAGAAAATGAAGGAAATGAATGAGAATATAAGGGAAGAGAATCCTCCTCCTTTTTGAAAGCACATGTCAGGTTATTTACTTCCTTGACGAGACAATCACACTCTCAGGTCCCAACTATAGTTCCCAGATGCGTGTGTATACAGGTCATTTCCCCTAGACCGATGTTTTGTCGATCACTTTTTTTTTTCTTTCAAAATTGTTTGATAAAGAATGTGACTTTTGAGCTAACTGGAAATTTTGAAAATGATTTAAAACTATTACAATAATTTATGAAATGAGGAGTTTTGAATCCATAGTATGTTTAGAAGCTCAATACCCTATCAACTAGAATATTGGACCATATGAATAAAAAAATCTAGTACACATATATTTAAGGAAAAGGATTCGGCAAGGGATTATAGGGTTCCCGTGATCGTGATTGTTCATCGTTTATTGTACGGTCATAAATCATTTCAAAATTTGAAATTTGAAATTAAATATAAATAGTATCTAACGAAAACTGACCGCACGATATACAATGAACGGTCATGATCACGGAATCATTAGGATCCCTAGGAAAAGGATCTAGTTGTTAAATTCTATATATATATATCTGTTGACCCTAAAAACTACCATGAATACGTGGCGCACATACCGAGTAACTATTAAGCTAACTGCATCATTCAATTGTGTGTGGGGCGTGGCAACTCGGCCGGGGAGTAAAATGTGTTGATGTTGCGTTGGGCACGCTACTGACTTCTCGATCTTGCTACTACAACCAAGGAAAAAATATGTCTTGGCCTTGAAGACAAGGTTGCTAGTTATGCGAAGTTCGATTTCAATTCGTCTTTCAATGTGTCGAATGTAGTAACCTGGTAACATCTCACTTCGCCAAAAAGGCTGATGAGATGACCTCTACCAACAATAACTCAGAAATCCTTGTTGATTGAGATTTGGATAAATAGTCAGTCGGTCTCGAAGCAATGTTGTTTATCCAAACTGAAGATGCTCATCGGTCAGCTGATTCTACGGCTCCAATGATGTTTATCCAAACTGAAGATGTCACTGGTTGGCTTCATAGTACTGTTTATCCAAACTGAAGATGTGTTGGTGGGAAGAAAGATAAAATCTCAGGGTTGTTGAGAAACTTTGAGTAGGACAATTTGTAGGTTGATTTTGAGGGGGTCCTTTTTTATTACTTGCAGCTTTATATTTATAGCAAGTCTCCTAGATCGCCAATCCAGGAGATACATTTTCCGAATATATTCCCAATAACTGATATTATCTTTAATATATTTGGGAAAAAATCTCCCTAGTCTCCTTATGCCGGTAGACTTTTACAAGAGGAACAACAGGTGTCCCTTTGAAATCTCGACGTACCCTTTCACACAGCATGCATACTGTAATCCCACCATCAATTCTTATCACTTTAAACTCATCTGACAACACCCATCACCATGCAAAAAAGCCTAGCCCACCTAGGTTTCTTATCTCATCATTACCCAATACCATCAAATCCTAGTCTTATCACATCATCATAACTCCATCACCTTTAACCCATCAATGTATGCATCCTGATGGCTGTCTAAATGAATTTTTACTAATTATCACCATAAATGGAGGTAAGACTAGCCGACATTCACCTCTCCCAGACCCTGCGTAAAGCGGGAGCCTTGTGCACTGGGTACGACCTTTTTTTTTATCACCATATGTTAAAAAGAAAACTAATGAAAATGTTTAAAATTTTTGAATTTTAACGATAATGACAAAATAAAGGGTAAAGTAAATAGTACTAAGATTGACTTTTTAGTATAAAAATATGGTTTTTTCGTTAAAGTGCACAGTACCGAGCTTTTCGTTAAAATTCCATATTTTAAATGGATAATAATCAGTTCAATAAGGACCTCTACCAATAAAGACTCGGAAATCCTTGTTGACCGAGATTTGGATAAATAACCAGTTAGTCTCGAAGCAGTGATGTTTATCCAAACTGAATGTGCTTCTCAATCGATTGATTCTACGACTCTAATGATGTTTATTCAAACTGAAGATGTCGTCGGTTGCCTTTACAATGCTATATATCCAAACTGAAGATGTATTGGCGGGAATAAAGGGGAAGAAGGATAAAATCTCAGGGTTGTTGAGAAGATGTACGCAGGGTAATTTGTTTGTTAATTTGAATGGATCCTTTTTTGTTATTTGCATCTTTGTATTTACAGCAAGTCTCCTTGATCGCCAATCCAATAGAGACCTTTTCCGAATATATTCCCAAAAACAATAACTGATATTATCTTTAATATATTTCGGCAAATATCTCCCTATTCTCCTTATGCCGATAGACTTTTACAAAAGGAACAACAGGTGTCCCTTTGAAATCTCGAAATACCCTTTCACACGGCATGCATATTGTAATCCCATCATCAATTCTTATCGCTTCAAACTCATATGACAACACCCATCACCATGCAAAAAAGCCTAGCCTACCTAGGTTTCTTATCTCATCATTACCCAAAACCATCAAATCATAGGCTTATCACATCACAGTAATTTCATCACCTTTAACCCATCCATGCATGCATCCTGATGGCTATCTAAATGAATTTCAAACTCATTTGTACTAATTATCACCATATTTTAAATGGATAATAATCAGTTCAAAATCTAGCCCTATTAGTAGCTTCCAAGTGACGTCTGCAAATAAACAACATTCCAATATCAACTTAATATCAGTTTGCAGCATACCACTTGAATCTGTCTGCCAAACCAAACTGATCCAATTCTCCAAAAAAAAAAAAAAAAAACCAAATTGATCCAATCCACATGTCCACACACCAGACATCCCAAATCAATTTGAACTGTATTGCTTGCTTGGGGATATAATTCACATCTTATTTATCTCGTTTAAGAAGATGTCAAGATAATTTATATCAAATAATTATTATGATAAAAACCCTAATATTATCATTTAACAATAACAAAATTATCTTCACTTTTCTATCCGACGATTAGAAGTTATGTTCACTCAACGACCTTTAATTGCACAGGCCGAAGGTGCAATTTCGAGTCTAAACAATATCTATCTAATATGTATGTATGTTTACGAATTAGTGTCTGTTGGGCAAGCTTCAATAGGGTTAATAATAATTCTACATAACATAACCCACTTAGTGGACGGGTAGTCGAGATTTTTATTTTTTTATTTTTTGTGGAGTACATCAATATTTTTATATTAAGGAGAAAGTGAGTTCGACTAAGTCACACAATGAATAACTTAATTTGGTATTAAATTCATCATTCACGAGATTAAAATCTAAGATCTTTTACTACAAGGTGAAGAGAAATACTACCAGAACATTTTACTAAGTGACTGGTAGTCGAATTTTTTACCGAAAATAAATTTGTAGTGCTTAGAACTCAATCCAACTCATATTGGATGGGTTGGTCAGGTTACTTGGTATACGCACTAAAATGCCTCAACAATATAACAGTTATTTCGGACCAAAAAAGTATGTAACAGAGTATTTATACGAAGGGTAGCATGGTCAAATCACATGAAAAAGTACAAAAAGGAAGAGTATGGCCGAACCTTGACCTTCACAGTCCCCAAGCCCCATACTTGTCTCTCTCCCCAACAAAGCGATGAAACCCTCTCTCTATCACTTTCTCTCTCTCTCAGCCACGGGCAAACCAATGAAACGCCGATTCAAAGCCAGATTCGAGGCCAGGAACCTCCGCGGATCCAGGCATAAGAAGAATCCAGCCCAACAGCGGAAGCTACGAGGTGAGATCCGGACTCATCTCGGCATCCACGCTTTTAGACTTTGTTTTAGGGTTAGGGTTTGTGAGGTGGAAGGAACAACAAAATTCGTTTCGTTGGGAGTATCCGTATGGCATGCATATGCGGGGCTTTGTTATCCTCCTTACCAATTAATCCAGAAGGAATTGGACGTAATTGAACGTGAAGCATTGATGATTTGAATGAGAATGATCGATAATACATACCAGTAATTAAGGGTCTTTAGTTAAGTGCGTGATCAATCCAGATGGCTTTATATGTATATACTACTAATACGTGCATTAATTTCCTCAAACAAATGTACAGATGAGAAGAAACAAGTAAAAGCTGTTCAAGACTCTCCCCGTTCACACTGTCTTGCAAAACAAGGAGAAGAAAAGGCTGCTAATCCTTATTGTGAATGTTGCTGTGGTGCTGCGGGTTCCCATTATAGGGCAAATTGCCCGTATTTGAGGTGGGCTCCCGTGGAACGTAGATACTGTTGGCAAGGGCTTTGTTATAATGTGTCAGTTTTGTTCTGCCATTGGCGACGACTGCAGGCATCAACGAAAGCGTGCTGTTCGACTTGCATGTACTCGTTGTGGAGTGGAAGGCCACCACGTG